CCACTTCCTTGAGTTTTTTTGTTGTCGCAGTTTCAATCAAGGCTCAGGCTTGAGTCAGATGAGCCGGTTGGTGCATGATCTTGTCGACGCAGGAAGCGGAGCTGGAGTCGATCTGTTGCTTTGCCAGTGACCTCGGGGCGTGATACCCACGGGGCACTGCGATCAGCGACGATATCTGCACGGCACACACCGCACTCCTCAGTTCATGACGCGTAGTTTAGCAAGGCTACCGACTGCAGATCTACGTGTACTGACCGTGGAACGATGCGGCTACCGGTATTTCACCTACACGTGTATGGTAGTACTTTTCTACATGTACGTCAGGACATGATTTTCAGCGTCAACTAATATAACAATAATTACTTCTTCAGAATGCTTTAAAAAACAATCATGTCATGCTGTCGCAGCAGTTGTAAAAATGAATGCTGTCCATCTGTAGTGGTTCATGTAGCATGATTATTATTATGATGTTGCAAGAGAGCTTTGTTGGTTTTATCGTTCCATAGATCAACAACCAAAATAATTTTGTATGCGTTATCGCTCTGATGTTTCTGCATCCACTAGGTCCTACTTGTACAATCATGCACATTTACACGTTGTAGCCGTGCTAGAAAAGGTTCTGTTTTCCGCTTATCTGCATTCCGTGGTGTCCTTGTATGGCAATGTCGCATGGGTATGGATCACACAACCGCTTGCGTGTGCGCTGCACGGCGATCGGTTATTACATGTAAACCCTGTCGTCCTTGTGACTTGCGATGATCGTATCTTACCACATGTACATGTCCCGGTAGTACAGTAGTCCCGGCTGAGACAGGCAATAGAAATGGAAATTCACGCTGTTAGACGTCCCCGGATTCGCACCTTGCTCGTTCCGGCCCAGATAAGCATACTAGTGTACGCATCGCACTTTGAGAGGGGTTTCGCAAACAATGGAGATTGCCCGTAGCCACTCCACTGCTTACACCCCCTCCCCTCAATGTTGACAAAGCACTATACATGCACGTCAACCACTCCACAGTACGGGGATGAGACGCTCGTTGGATATGGCTCGGAGAATTGGCAGACTCTGCCCGAAATGGAGAGAAAGAAACAGAACCCTACACACATCAACGGCAGCCTCTTTCTTTGAATGCTGCGCCTCTTCTTTATCCACATACCAAACACGCATGAAAATGTACAGGAAATCTTCAAGTTGAGCACCAAATACATTGTAATGTCTGCCACTTACACATGTCTTATTCGCCAAAGGCTACCTGGGGTGCACAATGGAAAGTCGCTTACAGACACCCACACACCCACACCGGTAACTGACGTGTTAACCTAGGTAGCAGGCTAGTAAACTTAAGGGGCCATTCGAATAGTCTTCATCAACTTTTAGAGTAAAGTGTTCCAATAGAACTATTTCGGAACTAATGCCCCTCTCCCATGGGATGAGGTTGTGGTCAACTTGTGGAGTTTCGAGGAGTTTCGCTTTTCTGAAGAGGCAAATAATCCACCTCTCCAGAAAAACGAAACTCCTCGGAAAGTCAGAGAGTAACAAATCGAACGCGCCCTAAGTACAAAACTCACGGTCTCCACTGAACTCTTTCAGTGATAACTATCGGAGCTAGCGAGTGAGTCTGGCATAGTATTTACAGTACGCAAAGTGAGCAAACCAAACGGTATGCTATCATCCGTGTTTTGTGCTAAGTCTACTTGGATGCGCCTGAAACACTTGTACTGGCAGTTCTCAGCTGGTATCTGCTCAGCTGAGATGTTTAGAATAGAAGAAATCAATGTCACTCCCATCCGCGTTATCAAATCAGTCTGCGAGCGTCCTTGTGACACCACTACACTACAGCCGAGGGAGATTGCGATTGCGCATTTTCCTCTGCCAATCCTATCGACCACAATGTGCTGTAAAGACGGCAATCAGTGGCTTATAGGGGCTGTCTGTGCCAGATCATCCGGCTGTAGCCGGCAACCAGAAGCACTTATGGCTGGCCTGCATCAGAAAACGCAGTTTTGACCAGATGAGTAGGCGGCGAAACATCACACAAACGCATGCCTTCTCGTTCACCTTGCTTCCGCTGTTGCTGGGTTGAATCTTCGCGTAGAATGGAACAGTGTTAAGACAGTGGTTAACTGTTATCGCTGGGCATTTACCAGGCAAGGTGTGGTACGCTGTGAGGGTGAGTTCACCAATGGCACCCTGCATTCATTGTCTACGTAACGTTTCAGGGATAGCCATAATTCCTCTCGGTTTGTCTGCGCAAACACCCGCAGGCTGGATATGAGGTTTTTGGAAGGATCTTTGCGCTTCGTGGTGTTCACGCCTATAGAGAGGGTGCACTTCCAGTTCAAGTGTAACTATAGTATAGGTGCGCAGTTAGGTGCATGAGATCAATATGTACATGTACATGTACTGCAGGATTCTGACAGGCCGAACAGGATCATGCACTTAGTTTCAGTGCCCGCATGTGAGCGAGAGAGGGACTTATACCCTGTACTTTAGATAATTCAGGAGATTCAATGCTTCGAATTAATCGAACTATTATAATTATTGGGTATTCAGTACCTTTTGCACATACTAGGAGTACTGTAGTGGTAGTGTCGACTCGTGCAGAAGGGCAACGATGCTGTGGTGACACGGGACCCTTACAACAGAGTTCCACTGTACTAGGGAGCGTGTCGATCGGGTCAGGCGCGAATCTATTCGCGAGAATAACGAGATCACGTGAGGTGGTTATTTTCGACATACTAGTAGCGGGAAATGCTTGAAGTGTTTGCTGTCTCGCCCAACAAGCTACATAAACGTTTCAAGTAGTTTTCAGCAGTTTCTCGCAGAAACTCTACCGTTGCTGCTACTTTGTAGTGTCTAGTTCTACATGCACATGATTGCAATCAAGACACAGTAAGAGTGCTCTTGATACGTCGGAGCAAGAACCTCTGAGGGCAAGTAACGCTTTCGCCCAGTTTTTGAGATCGCTCAATCGATAATGTACCATGTGCCTGGTCACTGGTGGGGGGATTTTTTGAACGCATAGCTTCTGGATCATGATGCAGAATCGACGGTATTCAATCGTTTAAGAAAAGGTACAAGTGCGCATCAATTCCTGTCACACGTGCTGTACATGTACATGTACATGTACGTCACATGACGGTACATAATTATTATACAATCCATGCATGTTCCTGGTTCATTTTCTGATTCGACAACATCAGATAAGTGAAGTGTGATCAGGGGCCGGTACCAGTTACATTGTACAGGTACATGAATTGTGAGGCACGGGCGGATTATGCCGGCATAATTATTGGGATAATATGGTGGTTGAAAATTTGGAGCATAATTTTGGCATCCTTTCGGAGGTAGAGCATAACTACATGATGCAACCACCGTTCCGTTCTAGTATGTAGGCTACACAATATTGTGCAATGCATCTGATCAGTGATGGTAGTCTGCATGGTAAAGGGTTCCGAGGTCATGCAAATAGTGTTTTCAATGAAAAGCAGGGTAGAAATCATGGGAATACAATATTGTATGCTCAAACTCGTCTTCTTCCTCACGTTGATACAGTACATGTAGCCAAAGAAGCGAATGAATCAGCCGTTATCAGGTATCCTGGGGGGAAGAGATAGGGACGGGTAGTCCACAAAACTCCGCATACATGTACAATGTACATTATGCATGTTACGAAGCCATGACCTCTGGATTTTAGCAGCCATGAGTGTGGACTGAGGTCTATGGATATTTCTCTAATAATTAAAAAAAACCCTGAAGAGGAACAGTTGATGTTCGGTCATGATGGAAGGAGAGGTGGAGCTACGGGCGAGACGAGCTGATTTTTCGCAGGGTGAGGGTAACATCGGTTGGACGATTATGGCGATCACGAAGACAGTTGAACATAATATTTTTCAAAGGTAAACAAAGTAATTTGGCAATGAAAAAATCTTTTGAAAAGAAGACAACTATTGAGTACTTCGAGTAGAAGAAGTAATGTTCTCTATTATACATGTTGATCTCTAGCATGCGTGCATAGACATCTTTGTATGGGGATACTCATGTTACATTTTGTTGTACTTCGTTATGGCCACTTGCAAGTACGAAAAAAGCACAATTTTCCGAACTTTGAGGCTCCATAAGTACAAAAAAGTGAATACGTATCCCTACGTGCCAAAGCATAATAGTATGAAGATTTTGCGAGCATAATGCGAGAATCCATGAAAACAGAATTCCATGATTTCGCGAGCATAATCCGCCGGAGCCTAATGATTACACAGTAACATACTATCTCGCACAGTTCTAGTTAGGGTTGGAACACACTCCGTTTCGCTGCTATACTTTTTATTGAAGTCGAATGCGTACGCACGTGTATATCAATATGCATGTACACTCCATTTCGCTGCTATACTTTTATTGAAGTCGCATGCGTGTGCGAGTATAATTATTATAGAAGTAGCAGGATAATACATGTACAATCATGTACATGTACATGTACATGTATGAGTGGATTGATTGTTCACTGTCAGAGGGTGTTCAGATGATAGCTTTAGGAACATTTCCTGAAGGGATGTTTGTCTGGCAACACTAGCCCGTGGCGAATGATGGCGGCAGAATCTGGCCATTTTAATGGCATTATCCACCAAGAGCTTGGCCTCATACGTTGAGCAAACGAGGGTTCAATACATGCAAGTGGAAGACATTGCAATGGGTGAATCTGAAAGCCCCATAACTTGCCGTAGTTGTGGGCTTTTATTGCTGTCATCGTTGCCGTCGTCGTCGTCGTTCACGGTTGCACTCTATTTTCGCTTCGCAATAAGCGCACGCAATTTCTGTCATCTACATGTGCCCAGCTTCCCCAGAATGATACAACTGCTCAAGTCGCTTTTAGACCCTGACTATTGACAGAGATTTACGAAGTCCCGCTCCACTATCATCACACACGCATACATGTACATGCTCAGATTTCGCTTCACCGAATCCATTTCGGTAATCGGCACGAGTCAAGACTCAAGACACACCGAATTATAGAATTCCTCTTTGGTGAAACCAAGTGTTGGAGCATTAAATACCGGACAAATCATGCAAGCATATGTATGTACTGGTTTGCATATTGAAAAAGTAATGGGGCAGTAAAGCATATTGCTAAGTAGAGACAGGGATTTTATAAGCTCTGGCAAAATAGCAACTCGGAATACTAAGAGCTAAGAAGCCAGCGCTGCCGCATAATGAACAGTAGGATTCTACTAGCTGGTTCTAGGCTGCGGAATAGAGGTACCCAATGCTAGGTATCGTGCCTGTTCATCGCATACTTTGCAAAAGAGAATTGAGAATTCGTCAAGTGGACAAACATGTGCCCAGTATTATAGTAGGAGGCAAAGGTGCCAGCAGCGATTTCAGTCTCTTCCTATACAAGTAAATTATGCGCATGAAACTCCGCGACAGGTACGTAATGTACACCATGACAAGACGCAATGTGATATTAGTGCTCTTCATCTGTACTTTCCACTTGCACTATTGCATGGTCTAGAGAGAGAGAGAGAGAATCAAGAGTTTGCAGATTGTGTTGGTAGTAACGTGATTGTAATAGATAATAAAGAGCAGAATACGATGCACGTTCATGGATCTCCTGGGGAGAATCACAGAAGAATAGAAGCACATACCATTACGACAAGCATGACCATACTGCTGACTGCGATCATTCCGCCACCGCTGTTCCCGTTCTGCTGCTCCTCGTCCACCACGCCTACCGTGTTGCAGTGAGTCACCACCGCATCTAATGACGTCATCTTGGTCTCGATCAGGCTGTTGAGCAGCTTCCACTCCTTCTTGTGCCGGGTCTGCTGGCAAGGGCTGCGGTGCGCCTTGAGGACGCGATCGACTTGTTTCAGACAGCTTGATGTACATACCGGACGATTCGTATTCGGTGCCGTCGTCGGAGCTGGACTGCTGGCCAGGCCCGTTTTCTCCTGCTCCACAATGTCGATGACGTCACTGCATTCTTTCAGAGCCTTGTTGACGGTGATCGTGATATTCTCGAAGTAACCGAACACGCTGCACCGGGGGCCCTCAACGGTCGATGTCTGATAGCAGAAGTCGTGCGAGTCGTACTGGCTGCATGACAGCTCACCGCGGGACGGGTAGTAGCGAATGAACACGAAGCACATCTCTTCGAAGGAGCCGAATCCCCAGCGGGTTGTCTCGTTGCGATCCTGGCTGCTGAACACGCATTTGCCCTCGAATCGGTCGCCAGCCTCGATGTCCATGTACTGGGGAGACGGATATTCGTAGGTGACCGGCGAGTTATAGTTGTACACCTTATCGTCCATGATGCGAGTTCGCTGCCCAGTCGGCTTTATGACGTCCACAAACAACGACTTGCCAAGGAAATGCATGTGCGGGAAGGAAGCAGTCATCTTCACCGGGCCCTGATCGAAGAACGTTTGCGTGCAGTCGGTGGTGCAGGTGAATGGTGCGTCGACGGCGTCCTTCTTTGGCGGGATGGTGAGCTGCAGTTGACCCAGAGTCAATGTGCCCATGTCGTACTGGCGCAGCTTGCTCGTGTAGTAGACGCGCACACCGGACGTGTCCTGATAGCCAGCGTGTTTGTTTTTGTTCGTCCAGTGCAGCTGAACCTGCACGTACCGCGGGTGCTTTCCACCGAACGGTACACCTGCCTCCACTGGCAGACACTCATCCTGCATACCAAACGACCAGGCGTACATCGTGCGCTCGCAGCCCTCCATGAAATTGAAGTCCTCGTAGCCCTCGCCCACCGGGATCGGGCGGTCGCAGCCCACCATAACAAAGTGATGGATTACGTTGAGATTGTCGAGGATCGGCGCGAATCCCACAGCGTGATACTGGCGATCTGCAGGTAGCTCGAAGTTCATGTTGAAGTAGGTTGTCTCCTTGGCTGGGACCTGACTGTTTTTGGAGTTGTTGGGCGCTCGTAAGTCGATATACTTTACACCTGGCGCGCTGAAAGCTTTGCACTTCTTGAAGAAAGCAGAGCAGTCCAGGGTTGTGGTGTCGCCGGAGACGTACGGGTGAGCATCGATAGGTGTTTTGAATCCTGGATGCGTGATATTCACGGTGCGAGACGCAGACTGACCGGGCAGCCAGGTACAGTTTGGGTCGCCCAGCTCCTGGCCGTTCGAGACGCCATCACCATCGGAGTCGTTCCTGCACAGAGCCCCCGTCCAGCGATAACCGGCTGCCTTGAAGTCCAGTCCGAACTGATTGCGAGCGTTGCCGCCCTGGTCGCTATGATGTCCTACGCCTTGCCAGGTTTTGCTCGGATCGCATGGGTGCTGAACGTTGAATCCGTTGGGGATATTGGTCCGATAGAAGGCGTAGCCATCAGCACAGGACAGTGTGGCGAATATAGCCAACACGAATACGGCCAGAAGTCTAGCCATGGTTATAGGCAGGGATGCAAGGGTTTCTGTACAACTGCAGGAGAGTATGTATTTTCTTTGCCTGAAGGCGCTGGAGTTATGAGTAAAGTTGGAGCAGAAGGTCCTATTTATGCGAAGATATCCCAGTATCCTGTAATGCCATTTCAAGGCGTTTCGTGTTGTCGAATGTAGTGTCTACGCGGTTCCCTCCAATTACTCAGCACCTTCGCAATCCGAAGCTCCCTTGGGGGTAACGAAGGCATACATGGTACATCATACACCTGACTAGACACAATAATATTATCGCTATGGAATTTTGTGTGTCGAGACAGCATAGCTGACACCATCATCATAATGCTACAACTCCTCTGTCCAGTATGACCTCTCCGTAAGCCTAAGCTGGCTACGTGTAGGTACTGCTTGGAGGTGGTTCGCTCCTAGGGTCACTGTGGTTGGACGGTTGGTAATCGACGTGAAAAGTCGTCATGCGTACCGCCCACCCAGCCAATCAGATGTCGATACGTAATGTTCCGTGAGTAAGAGTCATGTCAGCGTCGACTTTCAGAACGGCTTCGTCCCTGAAATTTGATGGCGCTGAACGTATCCTAAGCTAGACTTCCGAGAAGCAAGTGCATTATCACATACTTTCTTGCCAATCATCTTTGCATTGATTTCGCAAGCTGAACCTAGCCGCCTGTCAAGTGTGACGTCAAATGTCTTTTATCCTCCGCCAGCTAGAGATTATGATTCCGTGTGTCAAGGGATTGTATGCACAGCACAATGACACACGAGAATATTGATCGACATCGACAGCATGTGTGCACTCAGTCCTACTACAACTACAACTTGCAGATCTGGGTATGCATACATGCACATCTACATGTACATGACCGTAGGTCTTGGAATGAGTGCAAAGGTGAATGAATATGCATGCACGTCATTTACGTCAGCCCCACAACACAGTGCCAGCCAGCCATCGTGAGCCAGCATCACGTGGAAGTGACGGGCGGGCATAGTACTGACAATATTATGACACAATCTCCACCATCACTCAAGCCAAGAGCTCAATCGAATTCTATGGCAGCCTGACGGGCAGTGTCATCCATAACAAATTCAACAATAGTATCTTGACTAGTTGTAGCCGCATAACTGTCAGGTAAAGATGCGTGGGTGTCACTGTGAGTAAAGTAGGATACAGGAGTATGAATTCGGACACGTGGAGTGAACTACCGGTGCATGTACATAACATTGCGCATGACATGACGAACTGCAGGCGAATGCGAGAAGCACAGGTGGAAAGGCAACGGCGATGCCTGAGCCCTTTTAGGGCCTTTAACGAAACCAACCCAGCTCCGCTCACTGACGTATTATGGACGAGTCCTTTCCGTTTGCTCGTGCAAAACCCAACTTCTAGTAGTAATGGAGTGAATCAAAGAAACCAATCCTCACTAAAGAACATTCTACATGATTGTATGTCACGTCCTCGACTTGGTTCTACATGTATTTTCTCGAAACGTTCTCTACTGGACTGTGTACTTCAGTATAAAGAACCATGAACTACTACTGTCCGATCGCACGTCTAGCGGCCCCAGGGCGCTGGCCGTGCAGCCGTGGGTAAGCAGTACACACATGCTGCGTCGCGCGGATCGCATCGGATCAAGCGCTGTTCTGTACGCGCTGAGGGCGCCGGCCCCGGTCAATCGACTGGATTTCCATGTCCATGGATCCACGACAATACTGTTACGCTTCATATACCTCATGAAATTAATCATAATCTGGTGATGTGCCAAAAAGGTTCCGATCACGAGCCGGTTCCAGACACGTGGGTGTCCTCACAGCTTTGGCCCGTGCCAAAGCAGCGATAAATCTAACAGATGTTGGCGAACATGAGGTTACTAGTATGATGACCTTCTGCTGACACACATTCATGTGCAGGCGGCGCTCTTGACTTTCTGCTCTCACTGGAGATTAGGGCAATGCACTGCTCGTCACTGGTACTACCTAGAGTACTACTGGGCGCAATAATTATTTCAAGCTCAGCAAAGTGTGAGAACAGTTGAGCAGTAGAGCCATAATGCTAGTATTGTTCTACTCCCTGGCTCTCTCAGCTTTACATAATTAGTTCTCTGAGGCTGAGTGGTAGCACGCCCCAAGGCTAAGTGCTATCAAGAGGAGAAACAACTATCATCAACGTTGACCACCTGTACGTACGTACGTACAATGTACTCTCAGTCCGGCTACCAGTGGCGTGAAACTTGCCTGAACATGATACTAGTGATCATTTGCTTTTCGGACACATGAAAAAGAATCTTTATGGGACATTACATGGCTCGTTACGCAATGTACGAAATCTGCATGTTTCAGCGGACCTTGAGTAGAGCTTTGAAGTGCCATACTGTACTGTCCTGCCCCTCGTCTGTGGATCAATCGTCATGCAGATTCATGCAGTTTTGATAACAAAGGCCACTTTTAGAAGCATCACATGCCCATCACTAGCAGGTCAGAGAGAAGAAAAGAACTTGTGAAGTTTTGTCATGAACCACCACACCAGTCATGTGCTCTCCAGCTGTCCTCGACCCGACTTTGCCGCAGCATACCACCAACAAAGCGACACATCCGCTGGCACTAAATTCCTTCATAAAGCTGTTTCCAACAATGATGTATGAGCATTCACCAGTCGCAACGGGTTGTTGTTGTTGTTGTTGTTGTTGGTGGTGGTGGTGGTGGTGGTGGTGGTGGTGGTGGTGGTGGTGGTGGTGTGTTTATATTAATTCGCATTCAAGCTGGCAATGTCTAAAAGTGTTGCTCAGTGCTGCACTAAGGAAGAAGGGAACAATGATGATAGGTATGTACATCCGGCGCAGCGAACCCGGTTCAGTCTTCAATAGAGAAGCTTACCCGGTTACGCGAGAAAAGCATCCGCTTTTGCCAGGTACACACGCAATGGATACGCCCAGTGTATTCCAGCGCATTACAGTGACAACAAAATAATAATAGCCTTTGTGTAACCGGTGATAATATCAGTAACCCACACTGACTGTGTATGTGTAGACTGCTAGTACCGCTATGCAATGTTGTTCTTGTCTGTTATGAACATGACGCCTTTTTTACAGGGAAAACAAACACAATGCAATATGATACGCAACGTCTTGCATCGTTCCAATCCATTATTACAAATAATTGCTGAAATGCTGCCGAAGCGCTTTCCGTGGCAGGCTTTCATGGTATCTGAGTCGCAACGACAGTACCTACCTGTAGCACCTGGGTGCAATTTTCAGAAGATAGGAGTCCACAGTGTGATATCGATTGATTGATAATATAATTAGTTTCACGGATTCTCCAGAGGCACGTGGCGAGCACAGTAGGAGATGTGTGATTCCACAGCCGCATACACTTACAGTTTATTTGTAGCTCAAAGGGCTGATACATGTAGCAGCGCAACTGGGTATCTGGTTGATAGTATTAGTAAGCATGAAACTCTGAGTCACAACATATTTCCGCCTTGTTCCATTGCATACTTACTTACTTATGTTTTGCATGCGTCCTGGTAGTATTGAGCAGGTATTGAGCAGTGGCAGGGTGTATAGCAACAATAATAGCCCGGCTATGTAACAGATAGCAGTACAAGTCACGGTAAAAGCCACGCCAGATTCATGATTGGCAAATCACCATCATGCTGTATTACATCATACCATGCTGTCTTTCATGCATGAGTCAGCACTGGACATCGGCTACAGTGTGCTAGTACTCGCCGATACCATCTGTTGAACCTTGTTCATGCAGCTTCGTGAAGTGTTGGGAGGGCGGATGTCAACCGAAACATTGTGCTAGTAGTAGTCTAGTACTATCGACGTGCCACCACCACAAGTAAGGCTACTGTTTTGTTCTACACAGTATTGTGTAGTTGACACAGCAACTGGACATCATTGTAGACTGTTTCTCTGAATGTTCTTATTTGGGCGAGTGAGCGATCGAGATAGAGAGAAAGAAAGAGAGAGAGAGAGAGAGAGAGAAAAAGACAGATAGAGAGAAAGAGGGAAAGAGAGACGAATGGGGGCAGGCCGATGGAGGCAGACAGAGAGAGGCAGATTGATATTGAGAGGGAGAGATTGGACTGTAGACAGAGAAACATTGTATGTTCAGAAGGAGAGGTATCGTACAAGTCAAAGCTGTTACATTTTCTGAAACGTTCGATCCATTTTATCCAGGCATAGATGGATGTCCCTTGAGGACCTTCGAGAGATCAGCCATCTGCCAATTTAAAGAGTCTGACATCGCACCGAATCATCCACTCCCCACGGACATCATAATTCATTGGATGAAGTAAAGACCATGTAGCATGCTCCATGGCACTATTAAATTATTATTGTTTACTCATGTTCGAGCCTGAAAGGTCAAGTGCGAGGGGTTGTTTATCGGTCTACGTGTACTGCATTCACTCTAGGCACCGGCGGATTCTGCTCGAAAAGCAGTGAAATTGGCGGAACCATACAAACCTTATGGCGGGCAATTCCTCGAATTCTGCTCCATTTCTTTATCCACATACCAAACATGCAGGAAACTTACCAGAAAAGCACCGAATTCTGCCAATTTTTCTACCGGCATTATTCGCCGGTACGCGGTGCCTAATTCACTCAGTGAATCTACTAGTACTACTTTGCAGTTCAGCAGTCGGCGATGCAATGGATGCGATTTCTACAGTAACTGACCCTTGATCTAATTACCGTCATGTGCACTACTGTCATTCCCTTCTCGTTGCGAGCTCGTATAGTAGTCTGGATACGCTGCATCATGTTGTCTATTGATCATTACGCAACCTACCCTTGTGCTTATACTACCAAGAGTACATAACCCCCCAGAGTGTGCAACGCCTGATCCAGCTCTGTGTAGGGTCTTGGTAGAGCGGAATCGGATCTTTGCGTCATAATACCGTACACATCTGAGGGGAACCCGGGGAGTCGCGGGTACTCTTGGATCAAAAACAATGGTGCCCTGCCTCGAGACCGGCCTTGCGCTGGTGTGAAGTGTACGCATGACATCAGAAGATCCGATTCCGCTCGACCAAGACCCTACACAGAGCTGGATCAGGCGTTGCACACTCTGGGGGGTTATGTACTCTTGATACTACACTACAGTCTATAGAGTACAGTGCAGAGTACAGTGCAGTCTCGGTGGTCTTCAGCTGGGTGCACGAGACCAATGTCCAACGTTGACCAATGATCAGATGCATCCCAATACTATAGTATAGGGCTTGAAAGTGATGACGTCAAAACGGCCAGGGAGTAGTAATTTGACATCAGATTTCTATTTTTGGATCCACTAAGGTGTGACTTTGCTATTGCCTAAGTATGTGGGTGCATAGCAACCTACTCATGTCGCATGCAAGTGTGACTTTTATTTCGCCACCAGTTGTAACCCCGCCCCCAGTAGCCAAATCAGTCAGTTTCACTGGCTACATCACCATGCTGTGGGTAAGACCGCTTGAAATGTGCTTGGATCCATACAAAAACTGGATCCAAGTGGATCCAGTTTTTGAATTTTTGAAATTGTTGCTATGCTGTGACGTAGCACTTTCAAGCCCTATAAGGAACGTGAAGTGGAACTCGGTATCCTACATGTATGTGCCTGGACATCTCTTCCTAGCGCGATTATTCATATTGAGGAGATACACAGGGTACTTGTACATGTGCGAATGGACTTGAACAAGAATTTTCCGCCTGGACGATGTGTTGTTGGTGGTATCTGACATACTACAGTACATGTAAAGTAAAACCTGTTACTAACGACCACCCCTTGGGACCTGAGAAAGCGACCACCCCTTGGGACCTGAGAAAGCGGTCTTTAGTGGCCGGCGGTCTTAGTTAGAGGTTTGCAATTTTGCACCGCACAACCATTGGAATGTGAGACCGTCCGTGCCTGGCGAAGTGGTCTGTAGTACAAGGCTGGTCGCTAGTCACCGTGGTCTTTAGTTGCATGTTTAATACACTGTTCAAACAATAGGAGGACAGAGAAAGTGTTTCTACTCCGAGTTTCACTCACTATTAAAGCGATAATTAGAAAACAGTAATGAGAAATCTGGATCAGATGCATCCCAATACTATACTGTTCATGTGGGCTTAGTAGCGGACTGGGAAGACCGCTGTATATGTATGCAGGTGATGGACACTTTGCATGGGAAGACGAAACTGACATTTTACCATGGTTGGCTATCACCCCTCTCTCCAAGTTGTGTGATAATTCGTCATGGGCCACGAGGCGAGTGAAATAAAATATAAATAATCAAGTTGGCTGTTCCAACATGGAACACACGCTTCTTGCCGAACTTGACACTTGACCGACCCGCGACTGCAATCCGGAGCACACGTGGAGCACGTCGCACCTTCCACTCCGCAAACCTGTAATAAAATACCTGCCTGGTTTAATCTTGCTTTGGACATTTTATTTTCAATTGCTTTCAGGTTCGGCCTCGTTTTCCCTTTGCTGTGCTGATGAGTACACAAAGGACGAAACAGTTCTGACCGCAGATTATGTCGTGCGTGTTCTGGAGATGGTCCTATACGAGTTGAGTGAGCAACGTTCTTGAAAGACACAACAAGGGGATGCCCGCGGCCAATACTGACTGTTTGAGTCAATCTCAACTAATAAAAATACCGCTGTTCTGGACTGCTGGAGGGATGTCCCTGCACACAATGTAACGTCCACTACCGGTTGCTTGTTGGGCAGATCACAACCAGTGCCAACAACCAGACAACAGTAATTGAATAGTCATCAGCTAGCGACAAGAGCCGGATTGCGATCATACACTGACGTCATAATTATCATATTCTGTGCGCGCAGACTTGAGCTTGAGAAGTTGAGTGTTGTAATGACCATTACACGGTACTGGCATCACCGTCAAGGCCCTATGACCATCCAGCTTCCAAACTGCGTGCACCTACATGTACAGTACATGACTTGATATGCCGGTAATCCCAAACTGGTAAACCAGTAGTAGATAAACCTTGTTGTAGTTCACGCAATTGACGAGCTGAGAGAAGGACGCCATGGGCAGAAGTTGGAAAGAAAAAGAAAAAGAAGTTTTTGTACAAGTTAAAAAAGAGCGAAGACAACAAGACGAAATCAGGGGTAGCCTCCTACCCCCCTAGCATAACGAGGATCAGAACCGGGTGCGATACCCATAATTATGGTTCAAATGGTCCGCAGAGACCGGGGCTCTGCCAACCGCGGAAGGTTGTAGTAAGGTCACTGTTTCCGAACACAGTGTCCTCCACCTTGTTTCATGCTGTCAATCTAACATGTACATGACTTGTATTAGTTTTGGCAACAAAGAAGCCCAGCTTGGAAATCCAAACCACGTCAGGGCCTTCGCAGGTCTAGCTCTAACGTTATCATCTGATCAGAACAGAATACCAAGGACAATCAAGACTTAGTTGCTACAACTTCAAGTTTCATGCTCTTGCAATCATCAGACAACAGTCATGAGAATTGGGTGCCGACCATGCCGATATATGCCAAGGGGAGGGTGGTATGAAAAGCGGGCTGAGTGAGAATGCGGGGGCTAGCGGTGATATTTAGGCTGTGTGCACCGGTCCGTGTGCGGTACCGGTTGTTGAAGGCATGCAGGGGCCGGCTTTCATCTCATCACAACCGTACACGTCATTTTGCGGTTCGCCAAATCCCCTGGAACATGTATCTAATATTGACTGAGTACGAGGTCAATATAGGAAATAAAAGCCGAGTAAAAGACCGAGGCGAAGCCGAGGTCTTTTACGAGGTTTTTATTTCCTATACTGACCAAGTACGAAGTCAATATTAGATTTATCACGACAAACAGTCCGTATTTCAAATTCCAGAACGAGAACCTCATGAATCCCGGTTTTATGATTGCACAACCGTTGCACCACCACCTACTCATGCAGTGACAATGCTACACTAGGCACCGTTCAACTGCGCAACCCCTAAGCACTCAAATATAAGCAGTCAATATAGCCCTAAGGAGTGAAATATGCAGGAATATTTGACTGCTTAGGTATGGCAAAAATCTATGTGAGTCAATACTAAGGGAGTGATAAGTATAGATTATAGACCGGTTAGGAGGTCTATACAGGATATATAGACCGAGTAAAAGACCGAGGTCCCCCGAGGTCTTTTACGAGGTCTATATATCCTGTATAGACCAACTATGAGGTCTATAATCTATTTATCGTGTTCTCCACGCAATAGTTTCTCTTCATATACGACATATCCTTGTAATTCTAGTATTATAATATAGCCTATACCGCATTGTACTGCATTTAAAGTCAAGATCATTGTTTAAACTAGGTTAAGCATCGGTAGCACAGTGGCTGGGTGGTAAGGAAGAGTGACTGAGATTCACAAGGTTGTGGGTTCAAATCCCATCTTGTGTATTTCTGCTTTCTTGAAAAATTTCTTTTTCTAAGTTGGAGAGAAAATTTCTAAGTCCAAGAAGTTCTAAGGAGGCAAATATAAGTAGTCAAATATATCGTGTATTTGACTAAGCAGTCAAATACGCGATATATTTGACCGCTTAGGTATCAGGGAAATTAGTGGGGTCAAATACTAAGAAGGCGATAATAGATACATATTGCACGCTTGTACTCAGTCACGGTACTCAGCCGCTCAGGTAATGGGACAGGGAACAGAAACCGGGAAAGTACCTAGCCAAGTGAAGCCGCAGCACTGACAAGCCCGACAATCACGTCTAGCGACAGTTGCCAGGTAACGAAATGCCTGTCTGTGACTACGCGCACACTGCGGCACAGTTCAAACGCTTTGACTCATTTTGACTTCGACAAAACTCAAAAGCCAGGCACTTGTCTTTGATAGAACCCCAGTCACCTGACGGCGTGAGTGACGCGCTTAGCAAGATCGCCAGGAATCGATTTCGAATATACAATCATGCATCGTCGACGTTTTTACCAGGTCGCTAATAATATTTTGGGAATCATTGACGAGAGAATATTTTGAGCAGTGCAATCATGTAAACGTTGTTGACAAATACTCGGAATACATAGCTTAGCGTGTATGTCGAATTGAATCAACTCTTCTCCAATTCACTTTGTGCACAACGTTTGTTGTTAGTTGTGTGTGGGGTTGCTGGCCGAAATACCTCGTAGATATTGGAATTTTACGCCTCTTAGTAAATAGCCATTCGTGCACCACCAAACCAGGCCAGCGTGTGACCATCTTCACTCTAAGCGGTGTTGGAGGAAATCTTGTTACGCTGATCTAAGTACTGCTGGAGAGCTGCCACGGATTTGCTGGTCGTCAGAGTCTCGTAAGCCCGTTAGCCCCCCCCCCTCCCGTGGCGAGATAGCACTGGTGTAGAGTGTCTTGCCTTGTGACGAACGCGGAGGACGAGAAACGCTCGCAGAGAATAGATTGTGCGCCCAGTTGCGTGTGTCCCTTCGTAGCAGCAAGTAGTTCACAAAGCCTGCATGAGCAACGAGGTGAGGTTAGCAACCAGCTGTTTGTATTGGTAACAAGTAGCTGGCACGATTATCACCAGTAGCACAAGCGCACGCACACACACACACACACACACACACACACACACACACACACACACACACACACACACACACACACACACACACACACACACACACACACACACACACACACACACACACACACACACACACACACCATGTACCACACACACGCATACGCACAAACACTCACATGCGCACACGCTCATGCATACACAAATGGACGCACATATAAACACACACAAACACAAGGCAAACACCTACACACAAACACAAGACACACAAATACACACACGCACATACACACATAATACACACACAGATTGGCTCTAAAATAAGGGTTGGGTGCGTCGAGTCTTTTCTAACGGTAGCGGCAACATACAGGTCACAGGCGTATCGTAGTGGCAGGGTAATAGTCCGTCTCACTGTTGTCCGTGACGCTGTAAATCTTATCAGTAGCAAGCAGTCTGCTCCTGTTTTCAAAGTGTGCTCCGTACCCCAAGGCAAAGTATTTCCACACAGTTGGGGGAGGTGGGGAAATATGCCAGGGTTCCAAGTCTGAGTGCCATGTATCTTACACTGTGTTGCCTGATGATCACTAGCATCGTGAAACTCAGAGTTTCAGCAGAGTTCATCTCTCCGTAGTGTATGGACATCTACTTGTAATCTTATAAAATCATGTAATTCTAGTCTAGTTTCAGACACGAAACTCTGAGTAGTGGCGAAGAAGGAAACCGTCAATTCTGAAGAGAGGGCGGAATTGCTAATTCTCCCGCCAGAATTTATGCACTCGACGTACACACCATCCTAGGTCCACGTCAAGGGTTTACGCGATCCCACCTGATCCTCTTTTACCATTTGTTTTACCTGTAGTCGTGCCATTACATGGTCATAATCCGTTCATTCCATTCATTTCAGAATCATAAAACCTGGGTCAGGAATGTGTAATCGAAAGCACCCATTGTCTCTCTTGCTTATATTTAGGTTGTGGACAGCTAGCTTCACACGATGGCAGCAAAACATAGCCGAAAGTGGACAGACGTAGAGATAGATCGTAATGCCAGGCCACCCAGTGCAATGACTGTGACATCTATACAGCAACACCATGAGTTACAGGTTAGTCACTGGTTGCCTGTGTTGAAGGCTTACCGTCTTTCAATGTGTGTGTGTGTGTGTGTGTGTGTGTGTGTGTGTGTGTGTGTGTGTGTGTGTGTGTGTGTGTGTGCTCGTGTGTGTGTGTATGTGTGTAGCTTGTTCGTTATCATCGCTTCAGCAATGGGCAGAAGTATGAGTGTGTGTGTGTGTGTGTGTGTGTGTGTGTGTGTGTGTATGTGTGTGTGTGTGTGTGTGTGTGTGTTTGTGATAGTGATGCTGCAGCTGGTGGTTGTGGTGGTGCAGGTGCTGCTGCTGATGCTGGTATTTATACTAAGTAGCACTGCTCTAGGTGGTGCTGCTTATGCTTGTGAATATCTGACGCCTTTTTTGGAGTTTGAAACTTATTCGCGGACTCATTCCAAGGCGGTTTGATAATGAACTACTCCTTCTGGTGGCTGCATTTGAATGTGTGGTATGGCACCCGCCAATACAGTTATGTCTTTCGTCTCCAGTTCTTGCAGAATTTGAAATCTGATAAAGACTGCGGTCCAGTTAAACCATGGATAGTCCCCACTCTGGCGGACCAAACACACTGTCAACTGCATTGCATCCCAACTGTCCCCACATGGGTATGAGTGAATTCAAATAATCATGTCGATTCCAATCCCCGATGAGTACATGTTGTGTCTAAAGTGCAACCGTGACTACTTGGGCCGCGTCAGCAATATTGTCGCTTATCTTTCAGCTTTGTTCTTATGTCCCCAATGCTCACTTGGCAGCCCATTTCATCGCAATTTTGGTTAGTAAGTTAGTTTACTAGTACCTGAAAGGTCTAGCTAGATTTCGAGTGGATTCCGAGAGCGACTAGTGGGTGATTCTGATTGATAAAGCGCAGCATCAAAATAGATTATCCTGTCACATTGCGCAGGCAAGAGCAGCGCCACGCACAAGGAAGTAGTCGGCTAATCGGAATCAGTTATATTTGGCAAAACGGCCAAGATCGCTCACCTCAGGGATCGCTCGCCAAGCTGAGTTCGCAGTTCCCTCACTTCCTGCTCAACGCGCGGAGTATCCAGCGCATCGTGGAGATTTGCAAGTACTGAAGCCGTCGTCGTCGGTCAAAATAGATCTTGCAAAGAACGGCGACTGATTTGAACCACACAGGCAGTCGTGCTGCCCACGCGAAGTCCTATAGAGAAGGCGACCGTCACTTTCGACTTCCCTTTAAAAAATAGCCAGGCAGCGGAGAGGAAGAGAGATGAGCTTGCGAAAGGTAGAGTGTCGGTCCCAAGCAAAATATATTTGTCACCAGCGCTGAGAGCAGCGACGAGGAGGACCAAAAAAGTATGAAACCTTCCTTGGACAATAAATTCCTCACGGCCAGTTGTCATTCTGTACCTTACCTTCCATTATACCAAGTTTTATCGTCTCAAGTGCACGTCTTGATGTCCAAAGTTCAATTTGTCGAAAGATAAGCGACAATATTGCTGACGCGGACCAAGTACATGCAAACTGACCAGTAGAGCAGCCAGTCAAAACACATGTCAGGTCACTATGTATGTGTGCCGTTTGCAGCAAATTGTTTGCGACCCGCCAATCTTGACGGACGGCATGACATCGAAGGAATGGCTCGCCGTCCATGGTCCCGAGGCTGTGGGTCTGCAGCGGAGTAAGGTGCTGGAGGCTTGCGGACCAAGGCGGTAAGATATCCATGCCTGCTACAGGATGTCTATCATCTTATTTTCTCTTCTTCCTTTCATACCGAGTCTGGGCATGCTATTGTCCAGATCTTCACCCTACGTGTTGTCAACCATGTGCTGACTTGTGTTTGGGAAGGCGCTGGAATTTTGTACGGCATTTTTGTCGAAAACATTGCTACTGTAGATCCAAACCTATTCTGGCTTTGGGAAAATGTTGTCAATATGTACAAGATTGGAGTGGAAAGAAACGAAACCTGTTTCCGACAAAGTTATCAGAGATAGGACACAGTCTGTTTGTGTGCCTGTGTGCTGAGCCAATTTAAAACTATCAAATTTTTAGCAATAGTGGTGTGTGTGTGTGTGTGTGTGTGTGTGTGTGTGTGTGTGTGTGTGTGTGTGTGTGTGTGTGTGTGTGTGACTGCACTCAAGTCTTTGCAATAGGCATCGGCATGCGTATCGGTATCTTCAATGACGTTTTATGCTGTGATCTTTTGGGATGTTGTGCAGGCCTCCATTCGCCACAAGCTCCGATTACAGCAACATCCTGGCGTGGGATGAGAGCCACAGCACGAAAGTTTGCGGCGAAACGAGAACACAGTAAGATTCTGCGCCATTAGCAAGATTTTAGCCAGATCTTTGGCATAGCCCGAAGAAGGCAATAGGCATTTATGCACCGGGACGAGATGCTTTCATTCCAAACACCAACCGATATGTACTCTCACGAGTTCACATCATGTCTGGGAGCCGGGTTAGTATAACAATTTTACCACACTGAGTGATCAGCGACTGGTCTAAAAGATTGCACCAGTAGTGATTTATTGTTGGTACACAATTCTGGTGCACGTCAGGATAGTTTCCACTATAACCGAGTTCTAATCTGGATGCTTTCATCCGTTCTACCCTTCTTCCCAGGCCTGTGGCTGTCAGCATTGATCCCATTGAAGCACAACGGGTGGAGGCGAAGCTTCTGCGGTGAGTTCTAGTCTGCGGCATCAAGTGTCGCCACTCAATCCTGGTTGTAATTCCGACTTTGATTGGCCTTTCGTTGCTGTCGCCCAGGTGTGTACAAGTTGACCAATGCCGCTGTCTGTTTTGTTGCTGTGATCATGTGTGTAGAAATATCCGTGCCATGCAAGAGCGATTACAGTGGCTCAAGGTTGGCAGTCGCAAGGTACGTGAACTTGGCCTCTAGTGCGATGTGTTGCACAGTAACATTGTGAAATGGTGCCAGATCACATGATTCCAGCGTTTCAGCTTCAATCAAGACTTTAGACATCGTTTCCTATGGCAGTGGGTCGGACACATAGGCGGATTTGTGATTTTCTGTAACCATGACAATCTTGGCATCGTACCTATACGGGACCATGGCGATCATGGCTGCATGCTCGCAGCTTCACATCACAGGGTCAGAGCACGGATCTTCAATTTGGGGGGGGGGGGGGGCACTGATGTTTACTCTCTGTACCATGCAATAACATTGCACGACACTGACCGACGGTACTGACATTCTACAATGTTATCACATGAGCTGATTGTTTCGTAACTACCGTATTTCCCCGTAAGTTAGTTCTCCCCAAAGACTTAGTACCCCCCTATAAAAAAATATACTTTCCACTGCCGAGGTTATCACCCCGAAAGACAGTTCTCACCGAAAGATAGTAAGTTCGTACCCGTACTACATGTACAGACACCGTACAGTACATACATCATATGCACGGACACTAGAGTTCCGGAGGCTTCCCACTGCGTGTCAGTTACCCCCCGGTAAAAAAATACTCCCCGAAAGATAGTACCACCCCCGAAAGTTAGTACTCATGTGGCTGCTAAGTTCGAAAGCTAGTGCGTACTAAGTTGCGGGGAAATACGGTACTGGTGTTAGTGGACATTATAGCTTATCTTGTAGTTCATTGGTCCTCATTCTTTTCATTAATATCGTACTACTTCCTGTATACTGTCTATAAACTGCAGACATTTGGATACCTACCTGGCAATCGTGTAGCAATACTCATCGACTGCAGTAGCGTAGTGTCTCGGACCTGCGACGAAGACCTGTACCGTGCCATGCTCAAGGTCAGAGACGGAGCACTGAAGACAGGCTGAGTGGGAGAGATAGATAGATAGAGAGAGAGAGAGAGAGGGGGAGAGGATATGAGGGGGTTCTGTGTGTTTGGTGTGTTCGTGTGCACGCGTGTGCGTGTGTGTGTGTGTGTGAACGTGCGCGTGAGTGTTTTGATTGCTTGCATAGGAACATACGCTTCATCATGTATTGTTCAGCAGGCGCATGCCCCGTATGGGTTCCTCGTTGCCCGGAACCCCCCCCCTTTTTGCTTAAAATGCAGGATTTTGCTTCATTTTTTGAAAATTTTCCCGGGGAGGCCCCTCGCAACCCCCCCCCCCCATTGAAGGGCACCGGCGCTCACGCCTGTTCAGTAACAGTCACGTAGTGGTCATTACATCAGTCTGTTCAACTCTGCCACCATTCCAAAGCAGGACACGCATAAATGATTATGCATAAAAGCACACTGGTCTCCCACGTAAATGTGCACAAATGTTTTGGTCCAGAGCAGGGCTGTGCTGCTTCAAATAGGGCGGTTGGACAGTGCTAGCTGCTCAGTGTCCGCATGCTTTTGTATGCTTTTCAGTCGTTAGTACAAGACCAGCTGAGACACAAGGAGACAGTCTTGCCTGTAATGTGTGCCGACGATGCATCCCTGCTCTGGAGCCAGCCGCATCACCTTGATGACAGCCGGTAAGAGGGATTTTTGATTTAAAAACCTCTTTCACCCGTCGCAAAAGCTTCCTGCTGCCCGGTGTGTCATGGCCACCTGTGTTGTCTATGTGTTCCCGCTGTCCTGTCACAGATTGCGCAACACTCCTGAAAGATTTCAGCTAGCAGAGTTGTTTGAAAAGGGAAATGTATAGTATGGTGTGGCTTGAAACTGCCAATCTCTATTTGGGTTCCTACCGAAATCTTCATCAGAGCACTCTAAATATACCCTGGACTAGCATTATTGAAGGCAGACATATTTTGCACTCAGTTATGCGGAATTTCTAAGATTTATAGCCTTTTTTTCAATAGAGAAACAGCTTCAGTTGCCTGAGGATTGCTACAAAAGCATGAACCTCTGGGCTAGGACTAATTCCAAGTTGCGACTGATCCCGAGCCGCCTCCCTTCCATGATTGTGGTAGCTTTCATACATAATACTACAATAATGCGAGGTTAGTTAAGGTGTAATACATCAGGCAACATTGGGAATGGTATTGAACCCGCCCGTATACGTGAAGGAAAAAAACTTTGGTTCAAGCATCTGGAGGTTAAAAGCCTGGTGCTGTGTGCGGCACCATGCTTTGGGTGCTAGAGTGTGCGAGCTTGAGGTCTCCCTATTGGAGTTGTGACCTGGGTCTGTTGTGTGTTTGAGTGTTTGTGTAGCTTCTATCTGTTAGCACTTATGGCATGATTAACAAGTACTAGTGTGCAACACCAATTGAAAACCATCGTAGGTATACAGATGCTTTTGGCGTCAGGATTTCGTTTCTATTCACCTTGGTCATGTTCGTGCATCGCCAGAGGTTAGTAGATATGGCAGCTCACCCTGGTTAGGTGGGGTAGAAGCTGCTCGCACTTGTTTCTGACAATCACAACTGCAGCTGCGTATTCGTGTTAGTGATGAGCGTACGTGCGAACGCACAAACCACCCCCCCCCCCCCTCTCTCTCACACACACACACACACACAAACACTTACACGAGGATAACACCATTATTTGTCGCGCCCGACGAGACTGGTAATTCCGGCACGGATTCTAAAATAGTCCAGGTGAGATTTTCACCCCTGCACGTCCCGGCGCTACCTCACCTACAAGCAAAACTAATCAGTACGCCTACAAAATGCCAGTTTGGTGTGCTGAGTTCTAGTATGCAGCGTACCTTGGACGAATGTGAGATTGGTGTCTGGATGATCCTTGCTATATAGCCAGTTGTTAGTGATTGTGTCGTTTTGAGATGGAGAGCGCAGCTGCAGCCGTTCTACCAACTGTACCAGCCATGAATTGCACAAACCAACGCAAGCCGCCCGTCTGGAGAGAGAAAATTGTCGCGGTTACCCGACCGCCGACTGACTTGACTGAAGACTCCCTACCGGTAAAGTTCTTCAAGCCGTGCGAAGACCAGCTTGATGACACCGCGATTGGACTTCTCTCTAAATCATGCGCCAAGGCAGAAGGCACGTGGTCGTCACGTGCTCACAGAGCGAACAACAAGACGCGCAGCAGACGACAGCGCGCGCAGTTCCGCAATCATCCGTACAGAAGCGAGATGGGCCGAGGTTGCGCATTGTACGACCCAATGGACCGCGTCCTGCCGACAGTTCTTCCCAGCCGATTGCCAGTCCCGCTTCTGTCTGACAAGCATGAGCGTAGAGTCAGATTCGTGGAAGAACTGCAGACCTTGATACACAGAGGACTTAACGAAGGGGAAAGGTTGGGTAATGAGCGTCGCAAGACTGAACTACTGCTCCAGACATACGAACGAGAATCGCGCTCTTCGTTGCAGAGTAAAGCATCACCTACAGACAAGGTAGAAGAACCCGTCGCCACGTCTGCACAGCATAAGCCGGTGGATTCAGTAGATCGCCGAGTCGATTCACACAACGATTTATTGTCTACCCTAGGCCCTGCACGCAAAGACTTGCCGGAGAAGAAGGTGGAGCAGATACTAGTAACACCTTTAGGCTCTCTGGCAGCCTCTGTCATTGAGAAAGTTCCTGCTGAAGGAATAAATCGTCTTGCAGAGAGAGTCTGCACCTTCACGGATCATGACGTAGCCAGACAGGAGCAAGAAGATGTAGCAAACGAGCGTGGCGCTGCTACTGAGAATATAAATCTTGAGCGGCCAATGGAAGAAGTAAAGCTTCTGAGAAGTTCTGTGTTGGCACGATCAATGTCACCAGCATCAACGCTCAGTCAGTCTAGTCTGTCTACCGTGATAAACAGCAATTGCGATGCTCAAGCAGGCCAGTCGACTGCAGCCCGTGGCCCCCTCGTGCTGAACTCCTGCCCAGTCAAGCCCTGCAAGTTCTCTGTTGGTGCACGGAATTTCTCCGCAGCACCCACGCCGTCCGTCAAACCGGAGAAGAAGGGGATGAAGAGGAAGAAAGAGCTGGACGATGCATCACGAATTACCGACGGCACGGTGGAGGATACGTTAAGAACCTTGCAGATGTTGAACATTTCTGACTGCAATAGACGTTGCACTCTTTGTGAACGGTAGGGCCCTCATCGGAGCGTGGAGTGATCTGCCTGCTTCCGTTACGTAAACATGAAAAGAGAAACTGCAGAACAGGGCATGCCTTAGCAGATACAACAGCTTTTCTAGCCAAGTCTATGCTTATGATAGAAATTTGAGTTCAACGTCGATATTTTCGTGAATGAATTTCACGTGTGAGGCAACTACAGTAGTAGCATGTAACTCCTACAACTTGTCCACAGTAATACAACTACTTGAACAGACTATACTGACTGTATGCTGCGAGGTGATTTTTCAGGCAGCTCTCTCTCTCTCTCTCTCTCTCTCTCTCTTTCTCTCTCTCTCTCTCTCTCTCTCTCTCTCGCTCTGATTGTCCATCCATTCACTTATTGAATTGACAGTAACATCCCTGGACACACATGCACGTACATGCATGCAACCATCATTGCTGACCGCACAATGTAATCACATTCTGCACGCAACCCTGTCGTATTGTGTATGCATGCCCCCAAGTGCATGACAATGTGCCGTTTATGTTTGCTCTCCTGCAATCCCATCCCGTGACTTTTCGCGAAGCATATGGGTTAGGTTCTGGTCGATTTTTGAGTGATGCACATTCACGAGCATATACCGCATCACCCCACGGTTATTGTTGACATGATCTCTGCAATCTCGTCTGCTGCAAATATATTTCTCAATGAACTGTTGCTCGTTTGTTGTCCGAGTTGTTGTCTTTGTCTTGATGTGCTGGACTTCACTTCATAAGTGTACTTTTTTTGTTTTTGAATGGTTCGGATGAACGAGTACCGATGTGTTGTTGAGAATGAAGTAACTTCATGTTATGGTTCTGCACTGAGAGTTGAAATATCATCATGCTGATTTCTCCGATCCATGAAATGCTATGACCAAGAACAAAGATGAAGTATTCAGGCTGGACTGCAGTAGTATGCATCGAGTATGCGAAAAACCGGGCATTCTGAAAATTACCCCGAAAATGGGGCATTTTCAATAATACATCACTTTGGGGCTGGACATGTGCCTTCAATGGGGCCAGCTCGATAAATACTACTGACAACACGAACAATGATATTTTTAAATTCAATAGCTGGGCTGCACTGAGCCTGACTGCGTGTGCTCGACCCTTGCCCATTTTCTATCAATTCAAAATTGATTTGTAGCAGTTTTTCCCCTTATCTCTGTAGGGCAATGAGCTTGCTGTCGTGGATGGCAAGCTTTGCGTTCGCCGGATCATGTAACCTGATGGACGGACTGCGGAAGGTAGCGCTACATGCTGGTGATCTAGACTGTGTGACAGTTGTACTAGCTAGTCAGTAAGTGTGAGCGGGATAGTCATTACCGTTGGCACTGGTCAATGTTTGCTGTGTTTACTATGTATGCTGGCAGGCCAGCCAGATGGAGAGCTGGCCATTGTAAAGTTGAAACATGCTATGAGAGAGAGAGAGAGAGAGAGAGAGAGAGAGAGAGAGCGTTACTAGTGATATTAGCAGTGACGAGATCGCCGCTTATGAGTCCGACTCGTGTCAGGGTTCTGCTCTGTAGTCAGTGTGAAACTATTTCCCACACTTTCTAGTCCTGGAAAATAAGGCATGCGCAAAGTGAGGTATAGATTACACGTTACACTTTCTCCGCTCTAGACACATCACCTTACTCCTCTACGCTATCGCGCTACTGCCAATGCACTGTCAGAGGGGGCATATCAACACTGTTTTTCTTCATCTAGGTGTGATCTTTGCAGAATGTGTATTTTTTAATCTCACTGCGAGAGGTTTAGTACGTTCCACCAAGCCCTGCACAGCTTTTAGAAGCTGTAAAGGCTCCTCCTACTTGTTGCCTGTTGCAACCTTTTCATTCCGATCCATCTGTGGTAGTTATGTGCCTGACGTCCCTGTGTTAATGCTTCGTTGCTCCCTGCATACCGGGAACGATTTGTCGGAAGTTTAAACTACGATCCCAATCTGTCGATACCCAAGTATATATTGTGTGTTTGTGAGTGTGTGTGTGTGTGTGTGTGTGTGTTTGTGTGTGTGTGTGTGTGTGTGTGTTTGTGTGTGTGTGTGTGACAAGTTATGTGTAGGTGCTGCAATGTACTGCTGTGAACATTGAAATCCGATGGGATGACCGAGGACGGCGCTGCTACGGCTTTTAGCACGTACATGCACTGTAGTTCATATACACTCTTCAAACATGGACCAGCGGTGCTCGCCTTCGCTAGGCCATGACCCCTTGGCCGCTTGACTCCTGAACATATTTAATTGTCCGCTAAAGTATGTTTCTGTGTGTTTTGCGTGTGTGTATGTGCGCATGCGTATGTATCTCCACCGGCAGGGCTTGTCAGCGATCCAGCCTCTTGGTTGACTTTGCTCGGCAGCTTGTAGTTGGACGATCATTGAAACTCCACCTGGTGTCGATAAACTGTGATGACTCGACCAAGGTATACAGCTGTTAAAGGAGATTTAGTGCGAGTCTACTTTCTGCTGAATGTTTCCGTTGGTTACTTGGTACACTGGTGTGTTTGTGATCTCCTCCACCTTCACTGTCAGTTGAGCACGAATGTTAAGATTTGCTTGTACCCCTTCGAACACGTGCTGTTTTGGTGCTTGTTTCTGCCATTAGGCATGCCTGCACGAGATTGCAAGCCGCACAGAGTCCGTCTTCCACTTCTACGAGGCTTCCGCGGATGTAAGTTGTGCACAACATTGCACCTGTATACCCCCCCCCCCCCCCCTCCTCTCCCTGCCCCTTCATTTTCTGTAGAACTCACCTCGTACGTAATCTGATAATTATAGTATAACATTGGTACATGTAGCATGGGCACACACGTGTGCTCCCCTGTACAGTCAGACCTTGTTTATCCGGTCCTCTTTTACCCGGATCCCTCGCCACCTGAAAGAAAATCATTGGTTACCGATTTACAGCAAATGTCATGCATACATACAGTATGTGTGTTCGATCATCCGGTTCCCTCGCCTATTCGGATATTTTTGTGGAAAACGGATGTGGGCGGGTAAGCGAGGTCTGACTGTATTGAAGTATGATCAGATGTACGTTGGACAAAACGTCACTTTGCTGTTCGCAATGGGGTTCATCTTACCAAAGATTACACTTCACCATGCCAGTGGTGATGGACAGCGAGTATTTTGATGTGGGTCAAGCTGTTTAATTGGGGATGTTCCACCGAATGAAATCCGATGGCTCTTGTACGATGTGCCATAATGGGCTCCTAAATTCCAATGTTGTTGGGTGATCTTTTCATGGAACAGCATCAAATTCGTTTAATCCTAGAGAGTTGTGGCGCTTCCGGGGATGCGTACAACTCAGTCTGAGTTTCATGCGAGACATGTTTCATGCGAGCCATACAATATATTATCTCTATTTATAGTCATGATACCCTCTACACTCTATGGAGTAGTATAGCTGCACTGAGAGCTGTGACATCATTTTCCAAATATTCTGCGTTTCAGGCTGGTGAGGAGGTGTTCAGTCAAGATATCATGGATCTGCAAAAGGAACTTGAATGGTGAGCCCACCTGCACTGTCCTGTGCGGTACAAAATGATTTAGTAGCTTGCTACCCAGATTTTGTTTCCCTGGCAAGCTATATGCTGACAGTATTCTCAATCGTTGGTCCCTCTAAGCAGAATTTACATCATGTTTTCCTAGAGTTGATTGTCTTTGAAATATCACTGACATCTCATCTCTCTTCTTCTCTCAAACATTGGATGAATGCTCTTGTCTTCCATGCTTGGCTCGCACCAATTCTCTGTTGTTGCCCATTGTCAATACTGTGCTCGTGATGGAATAAAAAAGAAAAGCAAAATACCAATTGATGGCTTTCGTTAGAGTAAGCTGGAATGTTTTTACATACAGCAGGTACAATCACTAAGGCAGTCGAGGAGAGTCCACCGTGTCGTCAAGGACAAACAGACCAATTATATGCAATAGTTTTAGTAGTAGTTGCCCTCGACTCAGGTCACTAGCCCCAAGTTCTGTGGATCTCCATCAGTCACAATCGTAATACAGATTTCTCGGATTCTTTGCCAGGACACACTTATTTACCTGTATGTTGTACTGTTCTCTGCTATATGTTTCCAGTCAGTACAACACGGTGCATCACTTGCGACAGCTAATGTCTGGCAGAGTTGACCTTGGTGTGGCTGAACAGCTGCATAAGGTCAGTGTGCCCTCCCTATCCACCCACTCCCCCCCCCCATTGCCATTGTGTCTGGCATCCTGTCCTCGGATAGTGTCTTACAAAGGAGTCACACCACTCACCCGCACCTATCCCCCCCTCCCATTTTTATACACCACATTCTCTGTGAGAAAAAGGTACTGTTGTCACTGGTCTGCTTTAGAGTCCCTGCTACCCAGTTCAATACAAATACAGCGAAACCTGTAACTGAAGACCACCGTAACTAGCGAGCAGCCTGGTACTACAGACCACTTCGCCAGACACGGACGGTCTCACATTCATATAATTTATGGTTTTACGGTGCAAACCTCTAGCTAAGGACCACCTGCCACTAAAGACCGCTTTCTCTGGCCCCAAGGGGTGGACGTTAGTCACAGGTTTTACGTTACTATGACTTCCTACATGGGCATGTACTTGGATTTGTACCTGATACTTTTCTACCTCTTGGATGTTCTTTGTTACATTCATGTGCACTTATGGCCCCCTCTCTGTCTCTCTTCTATTCCACTGCACAACTATTTTCTGACAGATCAAGTCATTTTCAGAGTGGCCAAAAGATGAGACAACATTGTAAGTTTGATTCTGACAACCATGAGATTGGCATGATATTTGCTTACCAAGGACACGGGTGCTGATTTGTTGCAAGTTGAATAGCCAGGCTGCTATGATGTTTCACACTGTGGTTGTGCACGTATAATTATGCACACGTGTGTGTGTGTCCTTGTGTGTGTGTGTCTTTGTGTGTGTGTGTGTGTTTGTTTGTGTTTGTGTTTGTGTGTGCGTGTTTGTGTGTGCGTGTTTGTGTGTGTGTGTGTGTGTGTGTGTGTGTTTGTGTGTGCGCACTCGCCCGTGCATGTACTTTGCTAATATACATACCTGATGAGCAACGGGCTACTTCTCGATACGCATTGCAATCAAATTAATCATTGTGGTATTCTGTGCCGGCGACAGGGAAATTGCCAGCTCAGGGCCAAGGAAACAGCATATGTATGTTGAACGTCCGTACCTTTCATCCATGGACTGGCTTGTGGACAACTCGCTGAAGAGTAAGGACATAATTCCCGTAGTTTCCGGAGTATAAGCCACACTTTGAAGCACCAGTAATTCCCCCCAAAAATGGCGATGCCGCTTATAAGTTACTAAGTGGAAGATGTCTGTATCTCATGGCTGCAAATATGGGTGTGGATTATACTCCAATGCGGCTTTCACTCCAGTGCGGCTAATACTAGTACTCCGGACAATACGGCATCCCTTGTATTTCGTCATACATTGCTCTTCTTGCCATCTGCCTTGCAGAATCTGGATTAAGTATTGTTTCTATGATGATACTCCTCATCAAGTGATCACGATGGAGAAGAATTTGTCCTTGCATGACATAAGTTAAAATTCATCTGATCAGAAAATTTGTCTCGGACAGCCTGTCAGTTTCGTGCCCTGTTATCGCACTTTCTGACTGCTTATTATCTTGTTACAGTCGTGGATAGTTGCTGCATAGTTCGTTCCAGTGTGATTTGATCGGAAAATTGCTGTGCTTTTGCATTACATGCAATGCCTGTGGCCTTTGAATACACATGGATGATTTTGAAGTGATAATATATATATGTTCCATTGCAGGTTTGATTGTTGTGACAAATAAGCACATGTGTTTGCACCATAAATTTGGAATGCACTGCTATGGCATGGCTATGGGCTGGGGGGGGGGGGGGGGGGTACACTGAGGTATTGGTGCATCCCAAGTTATCTTAGATCAGCTCTATACTCCCTAGGCTGACTCATGGTTCCATGCTGTACGTTCTTCATTTTCATGTGTGTTTTCAGGTCAGAATCTCAGTATCTATCAGTTCCTTGCACCGAACTCCATTCCATCGCGCAGTCAGTTTGTTGGTGTGCTGCAGAAGGATGTAGCAGCTCAAGTGTTTGTCGATGTAAGTGTGGGTGTCAGCTGACTGCGTAAGGCATTCAGGCTGTCCTTCATCTTCGCCATTGTGCATCTGTGAGAGGGTGTGTGCGTATGCAGGAAGAGTCCCAACTATTCCACACGTGGACTACTGGTCAGTGTACTACTGGTATGTGTCGCCAGCCAGTTTTGCACCAGGTCTCACGCTTTATTCAGGGGTGACTATGTTGTTGTGTTTGGATTATGCTGCATCTCGGGTCACTTAGGACTATGCGGCATATTGCTGTTGTATGCGAGGAAAAAAAAGAGAAGAACAAGATTTATCCAAGGTCTGCCATGTTTGGGTCATTGTTGTTGTGCGCTTGGGGTACAACACTACTTCACAAAAAAAGCTATAGGCGAGAAATACAAAGTGATGCAATCATAAACAAGTAGCCTGCTATAGTAAGACTCAACACACGTGGGCATTGTGATCCCAAGAAGAATTTGGCTTTTTATACCCTTGCCTCCCACGATTTCTTGGATGGAATGGTGCCTGGATCAAGACGTCATGGTCGTCCCTTTCACAATTGGTTCACCAACATCAAAGACTGGACCATTCAATCTTACAATTCTCTCTCAATCACTCTCTCTCTCTCTCTCTCTCTCTCTCTCTCGTTGCTGCTGATCGTGAGAGGTATAGGCAGCTTGTTTATAAGTGTAGTTAGTTTTTTTCTTTTTCTGTTCTTTCGATGCTGCTGCCTTATGACACACATGGCGCCCCTAAAACAAGACTGGTTATGAGTTTTACATTCATATATAAATACACTTGGCATTATCATTGGTTCATTTGCTGCTGTTTGTCGTACTCTGCAGCGCATGACTCAGTTCACTTGGTTTGACGATACCATCAGACATGTCCATGTGGATGCTGCAGAGCTGTACGAGTACCAGGTCAGTACAGGCCACAGAGGTGGCATAGCCCAGCGCCCATTCAGAGTATTTCCTAATATGTACAGCACTACTCAGTGAAATCCAGTCGAGTCACTTAAGTCCTTGCCGAGCGTTGCAAAGCCTTGAATCTGCGAACACTGGGCTACAAAATATAGTAGAAGAGAGATTTGGTACATTGATCAAGAGCTGGCTAAACCATTGAAATGCTTGCACTTAAAAGTTAAAACCTCTCCGCCAGGGCTTACAAACACACTTGTGATAGTTTGTGAGTAGCCGGTTGCTGGCTCGAGAGTTTTCATAACCATGCACATGTATGGTGATGTCTGACTGGAGCCTTTAACTTTCAATGCCAGTCTGACTACTGTAGAATGGGTAATTTTCTGACTACTGTAGAACGGGTAATTTTAGCGACTATTAATTTTAGCGTTTTCCCATTGTCAACCGATTAGCGACGTTTTATTTTAGCGATTTGCAACGAATTTACCCACAGATCACCAGTGCACTACTAATGTCTCAACGGATTAGCGACTTGAAACTTTAGCGAAAATGAGTCGATTGCTAAATTCGCTAGGGTTTTTACGTCGCTAAAATTACCCGTGCTACAGTAACTAGACTCAATCTTATAAAAATTACTGTTTCTGTGCATTGAATGGTGTGTGTTGCACAGCACAAGCTGGATGATATGATGGATCTGTACAGGAAGAGGATTTCCTGGCTGAAGTCTGACACCCGTAGAACATTTGGCACGATCACTTCCAAGAAGTAAGCTGTTCAAGGGTTTCTCAGATATCACTTTCTTATGTTCAACACCGGTACGAATTTGTACTCGTAAAAGTGGACTTAAAAAATGACGAAAGCACACTATTGATGACTAGAGATGTTGTTGATGATAAGGAATTAACACCCTCTGTTGTAATAGCAGGTTTGAAACACTCCGTTGTCTAATGGCTGCACTGGGAATTGAAATTGTTACCTTCCCGCTCTATGTGAAATGCTGTCCAGTCCGTAGACTATTTCTGTTCAGGCTTGCATGGATGCTGCCGGTGTACCGAGTTAGTTGAGACTTGGACATGTTGGCGAAAAAGGGTGAAGCTTTCAACGCATGCCACTCAGCATATTGCGGGCTCCCTGGAACATGAACACGCAACTACATAATTATGATAATAACAATGGCGGTGTGACGTCGGAACTTGTGCATTCAGCATCCTCCTGGCCGACTTCAACTCAAACTCTCTAATAACGATGCTGTTAATGGTAGGGTCATTGGGATGTTGGCACTTGGGTGCAAGCTAACATCTGTCTTGATACTGTCCTGTGTGTGTGTGTTCAGTGTTGTCCTGCTTGTTGACACATCCACGGCGACAGCGTCCTGTCAGACACAGCTGCAAGAACACCTGTGTCAGTTTCTAGGAGAACAAATCGCCTTCTGCGAAACATTCAACCTTGTACAGTACGTTATGCATTCAGAATTATTGCACAACCCTACCATGGCACTTTAATATTATTTTCTTTTTCTTATGAAAGTGCACATGCCAACATTGAATGGAAGGGAACTACACCAACATCTTGTCGTGTAGAAAGCTCTAGTTGGGAAGCAGAGGCAGACGCTGCAAGCTGTATGGTATGATGATGCTGGCGTTGTAAGCTAGAATTCGGCACATTTTCAGGACCAGTACACAGTCACTTTTACTCACATACATATGTATATTCTGTGCTAAGCTGCTTTCTCTATACATGGACAACGAGACCTCTTCCGGCTATCTCACCTTGCGTGTGTGTGTGTGTGTGTGTGTGTGTGTGTGTGTGTTCGTGCGCGCACATGTGTGCACTAATAGATGTACTTCCGTCTTCCGTGTGTATGAATCTGTACAGCTTCAACAGCAGCGAGGTTGCACTCTTCAAGCCTAAGCCCGTCACGACATCATCCGAGAATCTCAGTGAGGCATTGAGGTAATGCAGGCAGATACTCAGATGGCAGCTATGTGGCCATGATTTCATTTCAAGTGTTACATACTACCCTGTAAAGACCTGTGTAAATCAACAAGAGATTTCTAATGCACATTGACGACCACTCTCACGATCTTCTTGATACGCAAAGCAGCAGTTCTACAGTACATTTCTATTTCCTGTCGCCCTCTAATGTTGGTTGTAGAAGGCCGTATTTCAAGTGGCTACACATACAGTTTTTTCGTGTCGGTCGCAGAAGAACTGGGGGTTAGCCTCCTGGCCTAGACCATTCTTTTTTTCATGTGCTACAGTCTATGCACAGTTGAGTCACCGAGTATACATTGGTATGCTGTGCTTGATGAGATTCAAGCATGGCCGTTCCTCGGCGCTCGACAGTACTGTAGTGCTATGGGCTGTTCTGTTCGTTTCATTCTCCAGGTGGCTGTTGTCATGGCAATGTGCTGGGTCATGTGACTTGATGTCCGGACTGAAGTGTGTGCTGGAAGGTGATGGGCTGGTGCAGGTGGATCTTCACCCATATGGTGAGCAACAACATTTATTTTCATTTCGAAGTCACTTGCTCAGGAAATTTGGATGTATTCCAGATCGTGCCTGTATTTGCACGATGGTATCTTGCTGATGCGGCATGTATTCAGGAGTATTTTGGTACTTTTCTAATGAATACGTTATTCCCGGTTCTTGCTTCATTTTGCATGCTGGAAACGCGTCCCATCGTCCGTAGCGTGGTGAAAATGTTGACTCGAGCTCGAAACATCTCCTGTAATATCCCGGTGGGTGTTAATTAAACCCTGTAAACCAGCCATAACAATCTTCCGATGTGATGGGCCTCATAGGCCTCTTGGTGCAGTCTTTCGGTAGATGACGGCATGAGCTGAACTGGACATGAGCGCACTATATCAATACGGGCACGTGCATACATGCCGATATTAGCAAGTGCATGTCAATGTTGTATGTGTCTGCCATGCAGTGTACCAGCAGAAAGCAGTTGGGCTGTAATCAATACACTGCGCGGGGGCGTAATGGTAATGTTCTGCATGTGTGCAGCACTGTTTTGCCCTCTCGACATAGAACTGAATTTACACACTCTTGCTGTTGTCACGTCTTATTCCTGCAGATTCTATTCGAGTGGTTGTAACTGGCTGTCCGGTTCAAAATGAGGTGAGGCAATTCAAGCCATACTGAGTGCGTTCGATTACGCACTTGAATCGATCCATGAACCAATTCAAGTGCATTCGAGTCGTAGGATTGCAAGTTGCAAGTCTACAAATTTTCGGCCCATTCAAATTCCGGCCTCCCAGGGCTAAAACTGCTGTCGCCTGTATACACGGTCACACTGAATCTTGCAAAACATAATTTCCGTCGCCACAAATTTCCGGCCAAACATGACCAGGCCGAAAATAGCTGAAAATAAATATGCACCGAGCATTTGTTTGCCTGACAATCTGCTGACTGTGAAGGTGGACAGTAGCTCTTTGCGGTCCTAGGCGGTGTCAACAAAATCTGGTAGTTAAGTTCTCTAAACCGGTAGCTATATGGGAGGCAAGGCGAATGCCGCTATCTGTTGATTGCTGAGATGTGCGGTAACTTGAAGTTACACGTACAGCATTTCGCCTTCGTTCCATATGTAAATGTATACTGGTCTGCAAATTCGTGCATCAGACACTCTAGTATGAGCTGCCTCCACCGACCCTGTCTGTGCAAGGCAAACTGCATGTGCCTTCATATGCACTTGGGCCCATTTATAGGTACCAATGCATTCAGCCTGCATGTTCGTTTCTGATTTTGTGTATTTTTTACCTTGCAGAAACTGCTGCTAGCGTACTTATCCCAACGTCTTCTTCTTGACCCGGTCACAATCGACACTGTACTCTATACGTGTGGAACTGAGGATGGCAATGTGCTGGAACAGAATAGCATGACAGGAACTGGACATTACCTGGTGGGTAGACTGAAGTCATATGCCTAAAGAACTGAGTGCCTGTATGTAATTGTCTAACCTTTCATCAAAACACTGCTTTCCAGGTGAGTGTCCTGGATTTCAGCCCTCCAGTTGCCTGCAAGTTACACAATACACTGTTCCACTTACGCATTGTCTTCATTTAGTACTTTGGTGGAAGACAATAACTTCTTTGTACAGTTGTGTTAATCCACCCCAAATGCATATTTAGTGCTTGGGACTTGCATGGCATTTGATGCCCTGGAAGTGTTGTGAATGCTGCTGGGCATTCCCATGTACCCATGCCGTGGTGTATTCGGAACTGGTCAATGGTACCAGCTTTGTACTTTGGGTCGGAAATCACATAGCGCTACTGCAACTGTTTCAAATGCATTAGTTCTGTATCTCGCATGGGTGCGTCGTTATCTCGTACGTCCACGAGTGTGCATGTGTGTGCTTATTGGTAATTTCCTTTTCTTTCTCTGTACTGCGTTCACTAACAGAGCACGAAACAATTGCATGGCTATGTGCAGAGGCTGGCACATCAGTTTGATGGTGTTTTTCACTGGTATGACCACCAAGGTAAGCAAAGATCCAGGAGTGAAGATTGAAAGAGCTGTCCTTGAACTGAACGAAGCTGAGTAGAAGCTATGCACCATTTTCTTTTTTTCCATTTTTCTTATCAATGTCAAGAAGTGTTTGCATGTACAAATGATCACCAATCTTAATGCCCATACGTCCAATCTGCCTATCCCCCCCCCCCCCCCCACACACACACCCAAACACACCATCACAAGCACCAGCCAACCGGTTTCAATCTTGCACTTTGTTTTTGTGTCACAGGAAGTGTGGACAGCGATGACATCCGTGTTATTGAGGAAGAGATCGAAAAGGCCAGGGAATTTTCAAGAAAGGTACTCATGCTGTCTTAGTACATAACACTCTAGACATGGCATGTTGCAGATAGTGGGCCAAGGAGATAATAGACAATAGTGATCCTATGTGTAAAATTCCAGGAATATCTACTGTTTACAGAATGTCACATCGAGGAACGACTTGTCATCGAAAGATTATTCACAGAATGTATCCTATCTCGATATACCAATTCACAGAAACCCACCTGGTCTAGACGTCATCGGATAAAATACTGTTATAGAACTTGTTCTGGTTGGCAATGGTCCTGGACGCTGTATAGTGTGTCTACCTTGCAAATAACCAGCTTCGATCGTGCATGAGATAAGTGCCGTTGTTCGCGAGTTGTCGGTATTTGTTGGAACATTGTGTCATTTTTTGTGAGGTGTTGTTATATCCGCGATCGCTATTTTTATGACTCGTTATTCACGGATTGGTGTTGTTCCCGTGGTCGTTATTTTACAGTTAGCTCATGCGATAACGGCAACAATCCGAATAGCAATACTGCACATCCGAGGCATGCTAGAGCTGATTGGCAGTTAGCTGTAGGACGTCAGTACCGTTGGTCAGTGCCGTGCAATGTTATCGCATGAGGTAATCGTTGGGTAACTGGTGATGCCGTTATTCACGAGGTTGACTGTAGTTAAAATATATCCCTGTACTGGTTTCCCTCTCAGGCTGGCTTGCTGGGTGAACACATGAGACAGAATGCCGAGCGATATCGGGTAAGTTCATGTTTGAAGGACATCCGTTTCGTTTGGCATGGAATTCTAATTGACTTTTCTTAAGGCGCGCAGGCTCCACTGCAGCCACTTTATTACACGAAAACCCTCCACGTACAGTCCTCAGAGCAGAGATCTCTTCACTGCAAATTGCTATTTTCTCAATGAAATTTTCCTGATGATTGCTCCTGGCCCGAAAATTTGATTGAGAAAATAGAAAGGTACAGGGAAGAGACCACTTGCTTTGAGGATGGTGTGTGTGTAGGGTTTTCCGTGTAATTGTATTGACTGTGGACAATAGAGGGTGCACGTTGAAGTATGTAAGTGCATAATGAATCATAGCCCAATGAACAGGCCATACAAGCTTATGCCTAAACCAACCGTTCATTCCAATTCAATGCACAGTGTGCTGTTTAGGCTTGTGTTGCGACATATACCGCCAGGATGGCTGACCACGTCCCCGATTGCTTTCGACAAACTAGAAACCCGATGCATGCTTTGCGTCTACATAATAATAACTCGGAAACATCTTGTACACGTGCAGGTTGAGGTGTAAATGGGGTAGGACCTGCAGGCATGGATAGGTTTTGCATAGTGTAAATGTGTGTGAATATGGGTCCGCCATATGGACTTACGGCACATACTGCCCGAATTGCCATGCCCCTTCTATTCATTTTGCCTTCTTCAGGAGGAAGCTCTGGACAAACGGCCTGCTGTCTCTGCACCACCTCAACCACCACCTGCTACTAGGATAGTCGTGGGACCACCGAGAGAAACAGTGGCATCAAGTGCACGCAAGGTAATGTTCTGAACTGGACTACAGTAAATCCCGCGACTAACGACCACCCCTTGGGGCTAGACAATGCGGTCTTTAGTGGCAGGTGGTCCTTAGTTAGAGGTTTGCACCGCACAGCCATACTGAATGTGAGACCGTCCGTGCCTGGCGAAATGGTCTGTAGTACCAGGCTGGTCGCTAGTCACGGTGGTCTTCAGTTACAGGTTTTACTGTATCTGAAAGCAGTCTTACCTGGAGAAATGTCATCTCTTATGATCCTTGAATTGTGTTGAACAATTCTGGACTTGGCTCTATTTCAGTGCAGCCTGTTATTCTCAGTATGCACTTGCGTCTTGTTGAAATCAAACCCAGAGTGCATACTTGTCACCCTCAACTTGCCGGCCCTTGACTCCCTGGAAGAGGCACGAATGCGGCTGAACGTACCGATGTGCAAATACAATGACGTAATAGGAACCTTTCTAGGGGCGCCAGTTTCGCACTTTGGGTCGGATGTCACCAAGCGCAGCTGTATATCTGTCAGCCATGTTGCTCAAATTTCACCCACACACACACACGCACGCGTTGTAGTATGTATGTGTGAAATGCGGATCTCAGAGATCCACAGAACTCGACCCGTTGTCCCTTTGGTTTCAGACACATCAGTTCTCCTGGATTATCCTCACAGGGAAATAATTGAGAGAAAGAGCTAGATGTCTACATCAGGTCACTGCAAATTTACTTCATTTGTTGCTATGCTTTCAAACAGGATATCTCGGCTCAAAAGATTGCAGCGGAAACGAAGAAGACAGTCACGAAAAGGAAAGGTATGTGTGGAGCTTGGGGTAACGTCTATGTTTCCTATTGATCAAGACATGCTTGCCCCTAGTGACGATTGAACGTGCTCATGGTGTTCATGGTCCACTGCTCCTCAGATTTCACGTGTCGGAAATTGTGGAGCAATGTGTTACAACTACTTTATAGAAGCCACACGACTGTAATTGTTGTGCTTTATTCCATTTCCCTTCAGGGAAAGGAAAGCGTCCGTCAACAGCGCCATCTCGCAAGCCACCAGCACTGGCCCTGTCGCATGATTCATTTCTCTTGGATGATGGCAAGTCAGGTATGAATGTAGATGCAGTCTCGTGTTGTCTATCCTTCTGTTGGGCTGTTGGTCTTTTCATCTGCCCCTTCGCTCTCTCTCTCTCTCTCTCCTTTTTCCATGGTTTTAAAAAACATTTCCAGAAGACAAAAAACAAGCACTGCTGCAAGTATGTACATATTTATCACCGATCATCGGTGTGGTATTTCATCCGCGAGATATTTCATGACATGATGCACATCTGAAGAAGGGCTGAGGCTTTCTGCAGCTTCATCTCTGTAAGGAATTCGGGTGGGCACATCTATTCCCATAGCACTGCACATCCGAACCAGTTTTGTTATTTTACGATGTTCCGGTAGTTGGCCATCATCGGGTAATAGGAACATGTAGCTAGTATTTACCTTACTTTGTGCAAAGAACAGCCAACGTACCAAGGTACAGCTATTCGTCTTTCACTCGTGCACAGTGAATGATATTGCCGGAGAATGATATGCCGTGGTGATGGTGATGACATGACAGGCACAGGATGATGGCAATCCTGCTGAAGTGTTAGATGATTGGTTGAGAACCAGGTCACCTTGGCAACAACAGATCAGAGCGCCCAATGCGGGTGCTGACTGGTTGGCACTCCAGCGCTTACTCACACACTTGGTGTGGCGGAAGAAAATGAGTACGTCTGTCTATATGGTTGACATAGCAATGGAGTTGGAGGAAAGTGATGAGGAAAGTTCGGCAAAGAGCTTGCTAGCAATCACATTTTAAAAAGGGGCGTATATTCCTTCGATGCATCAGTGTAATCAGTCTTATTCCAAGCAAAGATACTGGAATATGCTTGCCCATTGTGTACATGTATGCTGTTTCAGGCGTTGCAATCCGAGCTGTGTCGCCATCTGTGCACCGTAGTGGCAGCAGGATCGGCTCATCGACCTCTTCCGCTGGCAGTGTCAAGCGCAAAAAGAGCTCAGGAATTGGCGACTGTATCACTACACAAAAGGTATATTCACGTAAATTCATCCGTATTCCTTTGACATACTATTTGTGGTGCCGCTTATTTGCGACCTTACAGATCTTGATAGTGTTTACTTTGCAGAACGGTGTCACAAATCAGTAGAAACGAGATGAGTGATTGCAGTGTGGCTGGGAAAAAGAAAGGTCTGCAAGCTACAGTGCGATCATGATATACTTACACATGTTCGAAGTTTCACCCAGATGACTCTGAGGAAGGAGCTCAGGATTGTGGGGCTTCATCTCGGCATATAAAATCACATCGAAGTGGTAGATTTGTCTGCTCTGCTATCGGTGTCATCATTTTATGTCTCAATCTACATCTAACTTCATAGTCCCAAAAGTTTGGAAAAGACAATCAAGTGTGTCTGGAGCCTGATCTCTGAACTTCACCCTAGTTCTTCCATTCTTCTCTGTGTTCATCACGTGTTTTAGTGGCTGAAAAAGAACTCTTTGGAGGCACTTGATCTGGATCTTCACCGCCTTGTGAAGGAATTTGACTTTGGAAATCAGCATGCGAATGACTCTGTTCTGTCCAAGCCCTTCATCCGAAACAAGTACGTGCGAGCAGTGCA